CAAAACGGCGCCCTGTGATCTCACCATTTGGGGAAGTTTCCTGCCAACTCCTGCCTTTGCCGGACCACATTGTCATTCCAAATCAACACAGAAAATAACGAACAGAGAGAATGTTCTTGGAATGCAGGCAGATGCTAGAGTACACAGGCCAACGTGTGCTTTGATGGCTCTGCTCAGGCTTGAGTAGGGGAAGCTGAATCTCTGTCATGGTCAGTTATCTTCTGGAGGACCAGGGCAAATCCTTCCACTGTGGAGGACAGGACTGAAGCAAGCTTCAGGACTAGTCTCTTGTGGGATCTTTCCTCCTAATAAAAGAGGACATTTTTTTAAAAATTAAAAATTTTTTATTTATTATTTTTATGTGTATGAGTGTATTGCCTGCATGTATGTAGATGCGCCTGGGTCATTCAGTGCCAGCAAAGGTTAGCCGCCATGTGGGTGCTGGTAAATGAACCTGGGTCCTCTGCAAGAGCGGCCAGTGCTCTTAACTGCTGAGCCATTTCTCCAGCCCCCAAAAGAGGATACTCTTGGGTATTTTCTGCTAACCAAGGAGCATATTTATTGCCTAACTTATACAGAATACAGGGGTAGGAAGACATTTAGAATGGCAAAAAGCCATATACTCTTTCATTGATTCAATCCAGCAGTTCCTACCACAGAGTGAACATGAAATGTAAGGCGACTGACTTACTGATTGATACATGCTTAGAATTCTTAAGGGTGTGTGTGTGTGTGTGTGTGTGTGTGTGTGTGTGTGTATGTTTACACACATATGTACATATGTAGTATAGTCTTCCTTAGTGTCCTTGAAGGATTGGTTCCAGGTTATACGCCCTACCCATATATAAAAGGCATATATGCTGGGCGTGGTGGTGCATGTCTTTCATCCCAGCACTTGGGAGGCAGAGGCAGGCAGATCTCTGAGAGTTCGAGGCCAGCCTGGTCTACATAGTGAATTCCAGGACAGCTGGAGCTACAGGGAGACCCTGTCTCAAAAAAGACCAAAAAAAAAGCATAGTAATTGCATGACCATGTATATCCTCTCTCATATGCTTTAAAATATTGCTAGATTACTTACCTAATATAATGCCAACAGTTGTCACATACTGCATTATTTAGGGAAAAATGAAAAGATAGCTTGTACATTTTAATAAAATACAAATTTTTCCTTCAATTTTTTTTTCAATTCAGTTAGTTGGAACCACGGATGCAGAACCTATGGGTATACATTTTTCCTATTTAGGCTGCTGTGCTTTAGTAAGTTTCCCATAAATTGAAAAAGATGTTGAATGGGGTCTCTAGAGATGGCTCAGTGGTTCAGAGTACTTGCTGCTTGGGGCTGGACAGATGGCTCAGAACACTGACTGTTAAGAACACTGTTCTTGCAGAAAACCCAGGTTCAAATCTCAGCACCCACATAGCAGCTAACAACTGTCCATAACTCCAGTTCCAGGGGATCTGACAGCCTCTTCTGTCCTCTGTGGGCATTGCATGACACGGGTGCATTTACACACATGCAGGCATAACACTCATACATATAAAATAAAATAATAAATGAAATAAAAAAAGAGTACTTGCTGCTTTTGCAAAAGACCTAGGTTTGGCTCCCAGTACCCATATGGTAGCTAACAACCTCCTACAACTCTAGTTCCAGGGGATCCAATACCCTCTTCTGGCCTCCATGGGCATTCATGTGGTACACACAGCAAAATACTCATATACATAAAAAAAAGTTGCTGATGAACAGAAATTCCTACATAGCAGATCAAAGTGTAAACTGGGCTAACTATTCTGACAATCTGGTTCTGTTTTCTTTTTTTTAATTTTTAAAAAATATTTATTAATTTTATTTTATGTGTATGAGTGTAAGGCTTGCATACAGGCAGGTGCACCTGTGTCGTGCAGTGCCCTCGGAAGTCAGAAGAGGTCGTTGAGTCAGATCCCCTGGAACTGGAATTATGGACAGTTATTAGCTGTCATGTGGGTGCTAGGAGTTGAACCCAGGTCCTCTGCAAGAGTAGCCAGTGCTCTTAACCAACTGAGCCATCTCTCCAGTCCCATTGGTTCTATTTTCTAAATTACAAAATGTGTATCTCCTATCTTAGTCAACAATTTTAGTTCTGAGTATTTAACCTCACTGAAATATTATGCATTATGAAAAATTATGCATGCACAGGGTTATTATTAAAAACAGTATAAAGAAATTATGCAAACAATAAACATCAACAAAAACTTACATGATCCTAAGCTGTTAGAAAGGAGTGACACATGGCCTTCAAAAGAAGAAGCTCTTTTTGTGCAGTTATGTAGTAAGTACAAAAGTAAGTGAACACAAAAACCTTATTATGCAATAAAGGCAAGAGTAAGTTAAATATAACTAAGAATGATTGGAAATATTTACATAAAAAATCAATTCAATCAAGCTTCCAGATGGAATCATTTCAAAGGAAATACAAGATATACAGGAGACCCACAGGACAAAGATGCAGTGTTTTTGCAAATAAAATATAAGAAAATAGAGCTGGGTGTGGTGGTACATACCTTTAAACCCAGCAGTGGGGAGGCAGAGACAAGCAGATCTCTGTGCAAAATTGAGGCTAGCCTTGCCTACATATCAAGTTCCAGGCCAGATGGGACTAAGGGATTGTTGGGATTAAATGTGTGCATATTCAGCTAAAAAGTAAAATTTTTAAAATAAGAAGGGCCAACAGGTTAACTCTGAATTAAAAGACATCAATATATTGCTAAAATGGCATAAAAATAACATTTCCAAATTAATCCAGATTCCAACAATCTCTACCAAAATTTCAGCTGTCCCTCTTGCAGAAACTGACAAGCTGATCCCAAAATTCAGATGGAAATAGAAGAGACCCCAAATAGCCAAAACAATGTTGAAGAAACAAAGCTTAGGGACTCACACCTCCAACATCAAAGCTGACTGCAAAGCTGTAGTGATCAAGACTGTGGTAGTGGTCTAAGGACAGAACCAAAGAGCAACAAAACAGAAAAGAAAATCTAGGACTAAAGTCCTGTATTCTGGTCAACTGACTTTCAACAAGGATGTGACAACCATTCAGTGGAGGAAGGAAAAGTCTTTCAAAAAGTGGAGACAAATGGATTTTGCCACGGAGTAAAGCTGCTCCCCTACTGCATGCCATATACAAAACCAACTCAAAGTGCATCAGACTCGCAGGAAGGGGCTAAAATTACAAAACTATTTGGAAAAAACAGGCATGAAACTTCATGAGCATAGACTACGCAATACTTGACTAGATCTGATACCTAAAGTATAAATTAAATAACTAAAGGAAAAAATAGGCTGGATGTCATCAAAATTAAAGACTTTTGTGCTTCAAAGGGGATTTTCAAGAAAGTGAAAAACATTTCACAAAATGGGTAAAAGTATTTGCAAATCATCTATCTGATAATTGCCTGGTACCCTGAAAACATAAAGAACTCTTATTGCTACTCAACACTAAAAAGACAACCCAACTAAGAATTCTGCTAAGCACTTGCACAAATATTTCTCCAAAGAAAATATACAAATAGCCAATGAGTACTCGATGCTTAATAACATCATTAGTCATTAGGGAAATACAAATCAAAACCACAATAAGTCTGTGAGGAAATACACAGCCAAGTGATATAATTACCTCTATTATTAAAAAGAGCCTGGTGTGTTAGCACATGCCTTTAATTCCAGCACTCAGGAGGCAGAGAGGCAGGCAGGGGTCTGTGAGTTTGAGGCCAGCCTGGTCTACATAGTGACTTCCAGGCCAGCTGGGGCTACAGGGAAACCCTGTCTCAAAAGACGCCCCCCCCAAAAAAAGATAAAAGAAAATCAAACAAAATCTATCAGGAAAACATTGAGATAACTGGGGAAAATGAAAATTAACTTGGTATTTGGTAATTATGAGTATTGTAGATATGATCCAATCTAATATTGAAACTGAACAACAAAAATCCTTTTATTTTTAGAAATACATATTAAAGAATTATGAATGAAATGATATGGTGATTAGAATTTGTCACAAAATATTATACCTAAAGAAGCATAAAAATTGTTCGCACCTCAGTGGTAAGAGTACATGCCTAGCATGCACAGAGCACCACAAAAAGATAAATAAGATCACTGAAGGCTGATGATGGAGGGCATTATACTAGTCTCAAAACTGCTGACCACATTTATTAATATAATAAAGTATTTCTAAAATATACAATTGCATGCACATATGTAGACTAGTTGGATGGATAATGTTATTTCTTGTGGAAATGAAAAGTGGTGTGGAAATAAGAGAGTGTGAGAGGAAGAAATTCTTCACTGACAATCCTTTTTAACAGTATAACCCACCATCCCTGGTGCTCTGGTGCATCCACTAAATTTCTGAGAAAGAACTAAATGTAAGCCCTATTTCATAGATGACTCACTGAGTTTAACTGAGAGTCTCAATCCCATAGGTGGAACTGAAAACAAACTCTTCAATTTCTCATTCATAATCCAGGTCCAAGAACACTCCCCTTTACTCACAATTTCATGCTACTTAACATGGAGGCAGATTTCATCACATGAACATCACCATCAAGGAAAGTAGACTCTTGGACAATGTATTAGGCTCTAGGCTCAATCCAATCTAACCATCAGCAGGGGCCAAGCATTCTACCTCCCACTGGCAGCAAACCAGGTGAAATCAAGAAACTTGACATTTGGCAGAGAAAGAAAAACCCTTTGTGAGCATAGGTCATCTAACCAGAGCTTTGTAAACACTCCTGGAAGACCACCATTGTTATTTATCAGCTCTACTGGTTTCTAACATATTTTGCAGGGCAGTTCACATTTCTTGGGTATAAATCCAGCTTGGTAATAGTATAAATCAGATTATTTATACTATTCAGGCTTGTTTCAAGAGAGATAAATACACTCCTCTACAGATAGTGTAGGCCAGCCCTTCCTGTGGTTCTTGTGCATCAAAGTAAAAGGAAGAACAGAAACGGCCACTCACCTTGAGTCTTGTCATCTGGGCTGGGGTCTGGTTTCAGTCTTTTCACACTATTGCCACTCTCTGAGCTGTAACAAAAAACATGGTGATATGAGCTATGCCAATCTTAAGATCAATGCTTAGGGAACTGGAACTTCAGAAACATTTACATGAGTCTGGGGCAGTCTCAAGGAGCTGAGATGATCTGAAATGAAAAGCTTTCATTTTGGTTCCTAATCTCTTTCCAAATATAAAATTTGTTAGAAAAAGAATTTAACCTCCTGACAAATCCAAGGGCAGGGCATACTGTAAACTTTTGCTTTTTGCCATCTTTATCATTCAACTTGGATAGAACGACAGATGGATTTCAAGAATATTTTCACATGTTCACAAATGCCAAAAATTGATTATATCATTAAAGAAAATATCTTTGATGACATGCAGTCACCCAAAAGATTTTCACTAAAACAACACCTAAAGATATACTTCAATGGGGAAGGACATTTTTCCAGAAGGAAACCTGGCAAATACTAAATCAGTATCTCATATATATGGGCCAGGGTCTAATTTGTGGCATTAAACACACTAAAATTCTTCAATAGTAGCAAACAAGAAGAAGACAATGAACGGAGCACAAGACTTTAAGGTTCACTGTTTGGGTTTTTATTGTTTGTTTCTATTTTTTAAAAGATTTTATTTTTATGTATGTGTATGAGTCTGTGTCTGTGTTTTTGCCTATGCCTATGTGTGTGTAGATGTCCTCAGAGGTCATTCAAGAACAATGGATCCCCTGGAACTGGAGTTACCAGCAGTTGTGAGCCATCTGATGTGGATGCCAAGACCTGAACATCCTCTGGAAGAACAGCAAGCACACTTAACCACTGAGCCATCTCTCCAGCCCTTTTTGGGTTTTCTGTGGTGCTGAGGATTATACCCAGAACTTCATAATACTAAGCAAGTGTTTTACCAGTGAACTACAGCCCCAGTCCAAGGTCTTCGTATACTTGTGCTGGGAAGTATGATAGCTTTTTAAAAGGTTTTGCTGAGTACCCCTGATAAATTTCAAGGCTAATCACTGAAAGAATAGAAAAAGTATATATAAATCCAAAACAATAGAAATAAAATATTTTAAAGTCTTTTGTTCATTTTCTTCCAAAAGCAAGCACAAATTTTTAAAATTTTATTTATATGTATGAATGTTTTGCCTGCATGTATATAATTATACCTGTATTGTGCAATGTCAGTGGGGACCTGAAGAGGGCATTGGATTCCCTAGAACTGGAATTATAAACTGTTGTTAGCTGCCATGTAGGTGCTGGGAACCAAATCCAGGTCCTCTACAAGAGGCTCATAATCACTGAGCCATCTCTATAACCCCCAAGGACAAATTTCTTTTTTTTGGTCTTTCTGAGACAGGGTCTCCCTGCAGCCCCAGCTGTCCTGGAACTCACTATGTAGACCAGGCTGGCCTTGAACTCACAGAGCTCTGCCTGCCTCTGCCTCCCAAGTGCTGGGATTAAAGGCATGTGCCACCATGCTGGGCCAGGACAAATATTTTTAAAAAGTAAAAAGGAGGCTGGGGAATGTAGCTCTGCTAAGAGCAATGCCAATGTATGCATGAAGCCCTCGGTTCAATCTCAAACACAGCATAAATCAGGCATGGTGGTTCAGACCTGTAATCCCAGCACTTGGAAGGTGGAGGCAGGAGGATCAAAGTCCAAGATCATCTTTGGCTATATAGTAAATCTGAACCAACCAGGGATACAAAAGACTCTAAACACGTAAAAACTTAACCGAAGAAAAATAAATCTAAACTTGAAAGATTAAAAGTAGAAGGATGAATTAAAAGAGGCACCAAGGCAAACACCAGCATAAAAGAAGGCTAAGGTACCTTCACAACCATTTGGAAAACAGACTTTATGACCAAAAGCCATATAAAGGTAAGTGTTACTTTATAATGAATAAAATTTTATTCACTATGAATAAATAACAATTATGAACATATGCATTTAATTGAGGAACCTTAAACATTCAACAGAATTAGGAAAAGAAATCACTACAGTAGAAAATTTCAAAATGTTTCTCTCAAGCACGGATAGGGCAAGCAGATAAAAATTTAAGCACTATGAGGAACAAGCTCTATTTTACTCCTACATAGAACAGAGAAATAACAATTACAAATATGGGGCGGGGGGAGGCTAGGGAGATGGCTTTAGTTAGTAAAATTCTTGTCACACAAGCTTGAGGACCAGGGTTCTGATTCCAGGAACCATGCACAACATTTTATTTATGGAGCTGGAGAGAGGTCTCAGTGGTTGAGAGCACTGGCTCTCCTGGGTGTGAGGGCTCCTGAGTTTGATTCCCAGCACCTACGTGGTGGCTAACAGCTGTTCATGAACTCCAGTTCCAGGGGATCTGATGCCCTCTTCTGACCTCCGAGGGCACTGCACGACACAAATGCACCTACCTACATGCAGGCATTACACTCATACACATAAAACAATTTTTGTGTATGAATGTGACACTGGAGTTATGAACAGCTGTTAGCCACCACGTGGGTGCTGGGAATCAAACCCAGGTGCCCTGCAAGAGCAACCGGTGCTCTCAATCACTAAGCCATCTCTCCAGCCTCTAGCAACCATGTAAAACTCATGTGGTGATGGTGGTGGTGGTGGAGATGGAAACAGGCATATCCTAGAGCACACTGGCCAGCCAGTCTAGCCAAATCAGTAGGTTCAGTGAGACCCTGTCTCAAAAAAAAAAAAGGTGGAATGCAATTGGGGGAGACACCCAGTGCTAACCTTTGGACTCTGTAATGCACACAGGCACACACACGCACACATATATGTAGAGTCAGAGGCGGGTATGAATATAGATTCTCCTCAAACTTATTAACTCCATGAACAAGTAACATAGTCTAAAGCCTTTTCAAAAGAATCAGGATATACAAACCACAATGCAATTAAGTTAGAAATCAATAAGAAAAGATAAATACATATTTCATAGCCTCTAAGATACAACAGATTATAAGGTGTTAGAATGTGTGTTCTGCCAGGCATGGTGGAGCATGCCTTTAATCCCAGCACTCAGGAGGCAGAGGGAGGTGGATCTCTGTAAGTTCAAGGCCAGCCTGGTCTACATAGTGAGTTCCAGGACAGCTGGGGCTACAGGGAGACCCTGTCTCAAAAAAGAAAACAAATGTGTGTGCTTGGGGCAAGGGGAGGTTAATTTTAGAATCAAGTGAAATATGGGCAAGTTACCTCAATACTAAAAATTTTAAATATATTGCTACATTATTCCTGAATTAAAGAAATTGTAATGGAATTTTTAAAAATTTATTTTTATTTTATGTGTATGTATATAATGTCCACATGTACTTAAGTGCAACCATGTGTGTGCAAATGCAAGGAAGACAGAAGGCGGCACTGGATCCCCTGGAACTGTAGTTATGGGCAATTACTAGTTACCATGGGGGTGCTGGGAACTGAACCCAGGTCCTCTGGAAGGCCAACCAGTGCTCTTAACCACTGAGCCATTTCTCCAAGCTAGCAATGGAAAACTTTAAATACTTAGTAATACAAAACTGTAATCAACGAGAGATGAGGGAAATGCATAGTGTTGCATGCCGCTAACTAAAAAGGCTGAAAATGAGTGAGCTAGGTATCTCATGTAGTTAATAGCAATAAAAGAATAAATTTGACAAAAGTCATGATGATCCCTTTAGAAAATATATGAAACTGGTTTTTGTTTTACATATGAGACTCAGTAGCTTCCAGATTTTCACCAGAAATCTGAATCCTCCATGGAACTTTAACAATGAAGGCTCCCACACTTCAAACTTACTGAGCCAGAATTAGTATGAGGCCTAGGAGTCTACAGTACAAACTCAAAAGTGAATCTAATTACCTACGGCAAGGAAGATCAGAAACTCCTGCCCCAAGAGACTAATCCATCACCTCGATACCAAAGCACCAGTAAATGATGTACTTTGAAAACCCAAGATGGATTCTATGCAGATCTCACCCATAAGCTTACAGAACCCTTCCTAAATATGATTTAAAGATTAATTAAGGGAGACAGCTGAAATATCCATTTGGAAACAGCAAGTGCAACCAGGAGGTAATTAACTACTCACCTGGCGAGCTTTTCTTTGGTACAGTTCAGTAAAATTGACCAAGGTCTGAGTCCCGAGAGCCACTGGACCTTGCTAGGAAGTTAACATGGGGACTTAAAAGGAAGAGTCATGGTTTGCTAAGGTCCTTCTTAGATCACTGATCCTCCTCCTGTTGTTGTACCATGATGACATTTTTACATGTGTGCAGCGTTCCTAGGAACATCTGTAGCAGATAGATGGCGTGCCAAGCTGCAAGACTACATCAATACACTCCCTTCGAAACACGTGGATGGCTGCCAATACAGCACATCGATTTTTCTAACAGACTGATCTAACCATGGTCTGGTTGGTCAAGTTGATTCAGTTACTCTGGTGCCATTTCAGGATTTGAAAAGGGAAGAACACAACAGGGAACTTATGAAACTGTGTGTAGTCCTTTCACCCCCATCCATCAAAGTGAAGCATGGCAATAGCTCTAACCTTGTCACAGCTGCCATATTCTCTCAATGCCTTTGTAGCAGCTGTTCACTCTGAGTTGTTTTCTCCCTTGCCAGACTATCAGAGCCCTGGTGTCCCATCCCATTAGCATCTTTCTAATGTGTTCCCTAACTTCCGAGGCAGGACATGCTCTGACAGGCAGAGCTGTGCTCCATGCTTCACTTTTACCTCCAGCTCCCCTCCTTCCATCACAACCTGTTTGAGGTACCTGCTGCCTCATTTGCTCCATACTCACAAAAGCTCAAATACTGAACTCCACTCCTATTACTATGTGACTCTGAACACATTTTTCAATTTCTCAAGTTCTCAGTCTTTCCATCTGTAAAAGAGGGACCACAATAATCTGTACTTTGTAGAACTGGTTGGTGAAATTAAGGGATGTTCTGAACACAATGCCTGGCATCTGACAGGCACTCAATGACGAGGCACCAGTGTGTTAGTTGAAGTAATGATTAATCTAAGGTCAAAGGCTTCAGAAGACTCCAAACCTGGCAGAGGACAGAAAGTGAGCACACCAAAGCATCGCAGAGCAGCATGCTGAATAACCATGTGTTCTGCTACCATTACAGGTGGCATTTCAGAGGACAGGGCCAGAGGGAGATTTACACTGCACGAGTACTGGCTGACCTCTTATGCTTCACAGCTCCTGCCAACAGCTTTGCCTGGGAGAACTTGTTTTTGGTTTCTATGGGTTTCACAGTCAGCTTCTTCTCTGCTTCCTTCTTATTTTCTGCAGAAATTCCAACCTTGTTGAGATTACTGTGAGTTTCAGGTTAAGGGTCAGACTAAGCAAAGTGACACAAGGCAATGGTGAATCATTATGACAACAAACACAATCCACAGGCCCCCTGGCAGAATTGAAACCTGAGGTCTTCTTGCCTTGGCCTCCCAGGTACTTGGGATTTCAGGCCGTGTGTGTGTGTGTGTGTGTGATTTGTTTCAGTATGTAGACCACTAATCTAGAACTGGAGATCCTCCCTACCTAAGCCTCCTGAGCACACCCAGCCCTGCTTATGCTTTTGAAAACGGTCTTGGGGTTCTTGTGTTATGTTTGCAGTGTTCCTCATTAAAATAATCTTAAGCCAGGATGAAGCTCTGATGGTGTTGCACCAGCAGGACAGAAGTTGGTCCTCATGGTCTGGGATTAAATGCCTCAGACAGTCATGATCACATTCTACAAAATCTGATTTTACCCTTGGTTGGGGGACATGTATATTTTAAAGAAAGCTATTTTTCCCTCATTTCCTTTATATTCCTTAAGGTCTTTGTTTTCCAGCTAGCAAAATGGCTCAGTGGGTAAAGGCACTTGCTACCAAGCCTAACCACTGAGTTTGATTCCCCCAGAACCCTCAGGTCAGGAAGAAAGGGGAAGTTGTCCGATGACCTCTACATGTGCCATGGCACACATATACATGAATGAGTACACACATACATGCTGGACCTGGTGGTGCAGGCCTATAGCTCAACTACCTGGGAGGTCAAGGTGGGAGGATTTTAGGTTTCAGTTCTACTCTGGGCTAGACAGGGAATTCAGGCCAGGCTTGGTAACCCTGCCTCACAACAAAAGCTGAAAGGCTGAGAATATAGCTCAGTGGTAGAGATTACCAACCATATGTGAGGCTCTAGGTTCAACCCCAGTACCATAAAAAAGGAAGAAAAAAACCAAAACTAAACAGAGCAGTTTTTGCACTGTTTTCACTGCTAGCTCACAATGTCTGTCACTTGCATTTTTCTCCACTAGTACCTTGGCTCCTTCCATTTTACGCTCTTCCTTACAACTTACTAAACAGGTAAATGTTCTAACATGGTACGAATTCTTAAGATGCAGTAGTGCTGTACTGGAACAATAGTGACATCTAGTGCCCAAGAGATCTAAGCAGCAGCCAGAAGAGGGCTTGAGAGGTAAGGGATAGATGGCCTAGTTATCTAGTCTTTGAAAACTGGTCACCAGAGTGAAGGAAATTCTCTATCACTTTTCAGGAAGTAACCTCAGCTCTTATGACCAATTAACTTCAATATTTGTAGTACTTGATGAGAACTGCGTATAAGGCTCCATTTAATGCTTATGATTATCAAGGAATCATATAACATGTGCCTTATAAATGTTCATTTTGTGTGTTTTGGTTTCTTGGAAACAAGGTCTTATTACTTAGCCATGATTCTTCTGCCTCAGCCTCTCCACTGCTGGTATTACAGGTGTTATGTTACTAAATGTTCTTTTTTTTTTTTTTCGTCTTTTTGAAGCAGGGTCTCCCTGTAGCCCCACCTGTCCTGGAACTCACTATGTAGACCAAGCTGGTCTTGAACTCACAGAGATCTGCCTGCCTCTGCCTCCCAAGTGCTGGGACTACAGGCGTGTGCCACCATGCCCAGCTAAATGTTCACATTTTAAAAAAATCTTTGTGTGCATATGTGTGTCATGGCACATGTGTGAAAGCCAAAGGATAACTTGCAGGGGTCTGTTCTATCATGTGGGTCCTAGGGAAAGAACTCAAATAATCAGGATTGGTGGTAAGCATTTTTACCCACTGAGCCATCATTCCTAAATGTTCATTTCAAAAATCACATTTCTGAAACCAGGCGTGGTGGCACATGCCTTTAATTCCAGCACTTGGGAGGAAGAGGCAGGTGGATCTCTGTGAGTTTGAGGCCAGCCTGGTCTACATAGAGAGTTCCAGGTCAACTGAGGCTACAGGGAGACCCTGTCTCAAAAATGTTTTTTTTTTTTTTTAAATTACATTTCTCTGTGTGTGTGTGTGTGTGCGCGCGTGTGCACGCACACATGCGCGCATGTTGGGGGGGGTCATGCATATTCCATAGCACACATATGGAGGTCAGAAGACAACTTTTGGAAGTCTTCTCTCGTGGGTCCCAGGAATTGAGTCAGCAAGCCTGACAACCCGAGTTCAAGTCCCTGGACACAGATGGTGGAGGGAGAGAAATCTACTCCTCCAAGTTGTCCTCTAACCTCCACAAGTGCTCCCATTCCCAATTAATAAATAAATGTATTTTTTTTCATTTTATGTGTATGCGTGTATTGTCTGCACGTAGGTCAGTGAACCCGTGCCGTGCAAGGCCCGTGGAGGACAGAAGAGGCTTGTCAGATCCCCTGGAACTGGAGTTATAGACAGTTGTTAGCTGCCATGTGGGTGCTGGGATTTGAACCCAGGTCTTCTGCAAGAACAGCCAGTGTTCTTAACCGCTGAGCCATCTCTCCAGCCCAATAAATGTATTTTAAAAATAGAAAAAAGTTCCAATCTTTGACAGAGAGTGTAATATTTTTGATTCACATTCAAAATACAGATTTTTCCTCTTCAAGTCCCTCCCCCTCCAAAACACAAACAAGAGTTTCAAAGACTTCATTAGATGAGGCATTTTGTGTACATGTGTGGTGGGGGTTGTGTGTGCATGTACCCACATATGGAAGCCTGAGAAGAATACATCATACCTCTCTCTATCACTTTTTACTTTATTTCCTTGAGACAGGGTCTCTCATTGAATCTGAAGCTTGCTGTTTCAGCTAGACTGCTTGACCAGCAAGCTCCAGGGATCTGCCTGTCCCTCCTTCCACCCACCCAAAGGCATCACATGCAAAAATTTGGCCTGGCTTTTTTACATGGGTATTGGGGATTCAAATTTCAGTCTTCATGGTTGTACCCACTGAGCCATCTCCCCAGCCCCAGATAACACATTTTTAATTATACAATTTTAAATATATTTATTGCTGCTAAATACTAGATTAGTCTGAGAGGCATCAACTAGAATTCTGCTGTTTATGTAACACAAGTCATAGCTCATCTGGATTCAGAAGTTATGTTATAAAATGATTGTTATGACTGTTTTAGATTGGCACACTAGCCAATAAAATGTATCATGCCATAGAGTAAAACCGAGAGTCAGCTTCTAATCTAGAGCTAAAATAAATAAATGTCCAATCTTTCTACTTCTATCTCCACACATTTGGCTACTTGAGTATTTGGGATTAGTGTATTATACACATAAAATAAAAATAGTAAAAAAAATTTTTTTTTAAAAAGTGACTGCTGCCATAAAGCAATAGTAAGTCAAAGTCAAATATCTTTGCTGCTTTCTGAACCCACTTATGGGAACAAATTTCACAGCATGGGATTAGGGGGAAGGTATCTGATCTTGCTAAGAACAGACAAGTCAGAAGAATATGTCTCAATATGTTCCTTTAGGTTAGGGCTGAGGAGATGACAGAGTGGATAAGAACACTTTCTGAGCAAGCATTAGGACCTAAGTTCAAATCCCCAGCACACAAGTGCCATGAAAAAGCTAGTACCCAACTATGAGATGCCTGTAATCCTAGCACTGGGAGGAGAGGCAGAAACAGGTGGGTCCTAGGAGTTCACTGGTCAGCCAGCCTAGCCAAAACAGCCAGCCTCAGGTTTAATGAGAGACCCTATCTCTAGGGAATAAAGTAGCGAGTGATACATCAGGACACCAAATGATCTTCTTTGACCGTGTGTCTGCCTATGCATGCCATACACACACATGAATAAAAAAAGATCATAAACATGTCCTTTTAAACCCCAGAAGCCAATTTCTCCCCAGAGAGGCTGACTGCATTGCCCATCTATCACAGAGTCTAACCCCACAAGGAAGAATAACCCTGCTACTGATTATGAGGATCTATGCCTGATTAATCCTGAAAGATGTCAAGTCTTGATTATAATAGACTTTCACATGTAAGACACACTCTGCAAATCATGGCCACTCATTCAGAGTCTCGGGGAGATCAGTGCTGAATAAAGATTGTGCAGGCCACAAGGTCAAAGACCTCTTTCTACTGAAAAGGAAACAGAGATTTCTCTCCAAACACAAAAGGATATTCTGTATTCCTTCAGTTCTTTTAGCTCCTCTTCTCTTCGTTGCTTTTCTATTAGTTCTTGCTGTCGAGAAACTTCATCAAGAAAGTTGGTCTCATCTTCATCTAAACCTCTTACCATGTTTTCTGAGGAAATAAGTAAGGAATACTGAGCAGATTAACAGGAAGATACAGCCTTCTCTGACTTTTCTAAGTTAAAAAAATATTTATTATTTATTTATTATCATTATTATTAGTGTGTGTGTGTGTGTGTGTGTGCGCGCGCGCACACTATGGTACACATATGGAGGTCAGAGAACATCTCTTGGTAGTCAGTTCTTTCTTTCCACCATGGGATCAAACTCAGGTTGTCAGACTTGCAAGGCAAACAATTTTACCCACTAAGCCATCCAACTGGCCCCTTTTATTTTTTTAAAAAACAGGAGATTCTTCAGGGCATTAGAAGAAAGAACTGTTAAAACACTGTGGCTTTTGGATAAATAACATGGCGTAAAATCAAAGCATTTCTCCCATTACTGGATATTAGCACAGAATTAAAATAGTATCTCAAACTCTAAGCAAAAATGTTCAATGTGGTTTAGAAGGCAGAAGGCAGTTTCTTTTCCACAAACAAGCTTTTAGAGACTAGATAATCAAGACAATTCTACTGCTAGTTATAGAGTGTTGCTTGAGGCCACAGTACATCACAAGGCCCAGAGGAATTCTCAAACTGCATTTTCTGAAGCTTACTGAATTTGAACTGCTCCTCATACTCCTGCTGCTTCCTGTCCTTTTGTTCTTGTAGCCGTTCATACAGAGACCGAGGGTCATAGACCTCCTCTGGACATTCTGAAAGAAGACAGGGTCGGGGAGATACACACTTTAGACTGCTTTCTATTTTAGAATCGCAAAGAGTTGGAGAAGTAGTTAAGTCTCTGCACAGTCTGAGGGCGAGAATAACACAAAAATAACACAAAGTCTATAGCTCCCTTTGCACCTCAGACAGAAAGGGGGCAGCAGTTTTCAAAGCCAACTATTAATGCCACGTTGTTAACTGGATGAACAGCCAGCCTATTCACAAAATCTCCTGGAAGGAAGCATGATGGAGTAAAGACAAGAGCACCGTGGTTCTTCTGTGGAGACTTTACACAGGTTTCTTCACCCTTTGAGCCCCAGTTCTTAAACTCTAAGCGAGGACAATTAGCATGTACTTGGCAGGTTTTGTAAAGATTAAAGAGCATCATCGTGAGTGTCCAACTATAGGCCTACACACCTTGTGGATCTTCAGGTTTTCGAACTTTCTCCCATTCTTCTTGTCTCCTTTTGCGCCGTTCATCTAGTTCTGCCTCCGACACAAACCTCTTTTTGATGACAAGGTTACCATCATCTCCTCCATCCATAATAGAAGTCTACAGAAAAAAATTTCAAGAACTGCAATTAAAATTTCAAAGGGAAGGTTTGGGGATGTAGCTCTGTCGGCAGGGTGCTAGCCCAGTATGCCTATAATCTTAGTGCTTAAGAGGCAAAGAGGCAGGAGAATCAAAAATCTAAAGTCATCCTTGGTTACCTAGTGAGTTCTAAGTGAAACTTTCTCAATAATAACAACTCCAAAGAGAAACAAGATTTATCTGTCTAAGCAACAGACTAAAAATTTTCCTTCCAAACTTAAACTGAAAAAAAAAAGATTCTCAAATTGTTAAGTTTCTTTCTTTCTTTTGTTGTTGTTGCTTTTGTTTTGTTTTTGAGACAGGGTTTCCCTGTAGTCCCAGCTGGCCTGGACCTTGCCATGTAGACAAGGCTAACTTTGATCGCACAGAGATTCATCTGCCTCTGCCTCCCAAATACTGGGATTAAAGGCGTGCACCATCATACCTGGCAAACTGTTAAGTTTCTAAGTCACTGATGAATTATAAGATTTACAATGCTCCTAGCTTATCAGGTAGTTTTCCTTAACATCTGTATCTGAAAAGTTGGTAAGACGTTCTGGAATCATTCTTTTGACTTGGTGTTCCACAGTAAATGTCATGCTGAAGATACTTCTCTGTCCGTCTACTCTAGACAAATTGGCCTTCTGGGCGCCCCACCTGTTCCCCAGCTCTTACTCTCCTTTATTGCTGGAATGTTTGACATTACACCTGAAACTGCTATTTCACAACACTATCTTGATTTACCTTTTCTTGCGTCAAAATATATTCTGATGGTGAATCTCAGGTACTCAAGGAGCTTTAGTGGTCAGGTGCAGTCTATACAGCAGGGAGGTGACAGGCCTAGAGATATACAAAATATGAGTATAAAGAGTGAGGCTAAAGGCAGGTGGATCTCTGTGAGATCGAGGCCAGCCTGGTCTACATAGCTAGTTCCAGGCCAGTTGTAGCTACAGGGAGACCTGTCTCAAACAAACAGACAAACAAACAAACAAAGACTAGAACAAAATCTCCCAACTTCCAGCTCGACACTTTTTTCAGTATTAGCTGACTGCTAACACCTTTCCTGACCTTCCTCCCTGTGAAGTAATGGCCCTGTCTATGGCCTGATTAAGATTCTGTCTTTTACCTCTCCACAACCTCAAGATCCTGATGTAGAAGATACCCAAATCACTTTTCTACTCCTATCTGAACTCTTCTTCAGAGAAGGGGGGAGAGGGAAATAAAGATAGAAAAGGGTGTGTATTCCTTTTAAAACTCACCTGTTGGGGGCTAGAGATATAGCTCAGTGGTATAGCAAGCACTTACCTACCATATGCAAGGCCTTGGAGGGTTACAATCCCTAGCACTCCCCACCCTGCTAAAAAAACAACAAAAACCCTCCATTTCTTTTCACTTTCCTATCTTCACTTCTGAAGAACTACTGCATTGACTGTCTACTCTGACATGTTTTGTGTTATCTACAATATTACTTCCTACTGAGGAGGCCCATGCTGAACCTAATGTCTATTCCAAGATGACCTGACAATCCAAATAATAAAGTTTATTAAAAATAAGTCCATTGCCACAAAAAAGCAGCTAAGATTTACAAAGCTCTTACCATGTGCTCCATACTTTTTAATTGTATCAAATGTTTATCTACAGAGAAATATGCTCTGTACAGATTAGACTGAAGCCCAGGTTAGATCACTTATCCAAGGTATCACAGGTAGAAAATGGTACAGCTGAGAATCAAATTCACATCTGATATCAAATTTCATATTCTCAGGTGGATGCAGTAGCACAATACCTACAATCCCAATACTTAAGAGGCCGAGGCAAGAGAATAATGAGTTCAAGACCAGCCTGGGCTAAGAGCAAATTCAAGACCAGTCTGAGCTAGTGAGACCTTGTTTTTTTCCCCAGCCCTTAGGAGGCAGAGGCAGGCAGCACCCTGGAGTTCAACATCAGTCTGTGTACATAGCCAAGAGTTTGCCTAAAAAAAAAAAAAAAAGTTTTCTTTCCCACTTCATCATATTCCTCAAAACCCACTAAATCTTGGCTGAAACGAAGGCATGGCTAAGCATGGTGACCCGTATCTTTAATCCCAGCACTCAGGAGGTTAAGGCAAAAGGATCAAGGGCTGGAGACCAGTTTGGGCTACACAGTGAGAACTTGTTTCAAAAAACTAAGGGCTGGGAATGTAGCTCAGTCATACAGCACTTGCCTACCATGCACAAGGCTCTGCAGTCAAACCCCAGTGTGTAAGAGAGGCACAGAGAAAACAAGGACAGGTCCACTTCAGCTATCTTTTCCTACATCAAATTTCAGGGCTGAGAATGTTCATTCAATGTTTTTGATTACTAAAGAAAAGAAATGAAAGCTGAAAAATCAAACCCAAGCATTCAAGAGTCCTCCTATTGAAGTTTGTTTGATGTAACAATGAGAATTGTGAGAATTACTAGAAAGAAAACTAAGTCAACTGACAGAAGCTTGTTGCTCCCTCCTGGCCGACGACCCAGACACTTGATTTAGCATCACTCAATGTCTCCAGCTGGATGCTTATTACGAAAGCAGAACTACTCAGTCTCTGTGATTATGCCAAAATCCCTCAAGTTCTACACAAAAATCTCTTACGAAACAAGAGCCAAGAATTTATGAAACATCTCTGGCAGAGAAAATGTGAATTCTGCAGGCGCTAGTGAAAGGGAGAGTAAGACTGGACCTTCACCTGCCCCTTTTTTACCCACTGGCTGTAGCTCTCTCCTTTTTCACCCTGTATTAGCTGTATAGTTTCCTCCCCACACCCTATTTTCTCGTAAATCACAGCGGGATAGGTCCTTACAGACTAGCTACAGACCTGGCATCTGAATCCACCATACACACTCAGAAGAGAATTAGCCAACTCAAATTATAGGCCTTTAAGATTTTAGACCTTCCAGGGAGTCAACTCCCTTTTAGTCTGACAGTTCTTTCTTTGAAATCTCTTTTCCTATGAACTCTACACATAAATTTAATCCACTGGGATGATAAAAAGCCAAACCTTTTTCAACATGACAATGTTTCAATTATCTAAAGGCAACTCCCACTCTCTACTTGCTGTTTTTCCTTAGGCAAACATCCCTAGTTATTTTAATCTTACAAAATGAAATTTGTTTCAAAGTAGTAAACTTGCTTGGTGTGGTGGCACATGCCTGCCTGCAATCTCAGTAGTTGGGACGTAGATGCAGGAGAAAAGAGTGCAAGGGCATCATTAGGGAGTTCAAGGCCAGCCTGGGATACCTGATACATGCCTCAAAAAACAGGCCAGCAAGGTAGCTCAGCAGGTAAAAATGTCTGCTGCCAAGACTGACAACTACAGTACAATCCCTAGAACTCGCATGGTGGAAGGAGAGAACTGACTCCTCAAGCTGTCCTCTGACCTCCAAGCACACGCACACTTGTACTGGAAAGATGGCTCAGCAGTCAAGAACGCTAACTGCCCTTGCAGAAGACCCGAGTTTAAATCAAAGCACCCTGGGGCTGGAGAGATGGCTCAGCGGTTAAGAACACTGGTTGTTCTTGCAGAAGACCCAGGTTTGAATCCCAGCACCCACATGGCAGCTAACAACTGTCTGTAACTCCAGTCCCAGCCTCTTCTGACCTCCAAGGGCATTGCTGGACATGGGTGCACTTACTTACACGCGGGCAATACACACATACACATAAAATAAAAAGTTAAAAAAAATTCAAATCCCAGCACCCATATGGCAGCTAACAACTGTCCAAAACTCCAGTTCAAGGGATCTGACAGCTTTTTCTGTCCTCTGAGGGCATTGCACAACACGGATGCTGTCCTGGTTTGTTCTTTATTGCTGTGACAAAACACTCTGACCACTACCAACTTGGGGAGGAAAGGGTTTATTTAGCTTACATGGTTCATCAGGGAGCCCAAGGTAGGAGCTGGGCCGGTGGCCAACGACCCGCAAAGAGAGGGAGAGACCCCCGCACTCCCCTGGCCCCTGTTCAACTTGCTTTCTTAAACAACACAGGCCCACCTGCCTAGGGGTGGCACCGCACAGTGGGCCTCCCACATCAAGAAGATGCCCCTCAGACATGGCCACAGGCCAGTCCAATCGAGGAAATTCCCCAATTGAGGCTCCCTCAACCCAAGTGTGTCAAGTTGACACTAAAGCTATCCAGCACAGATGCACTTGCCTACGTGCAGGTAATAAACGTATGCATGCATTAAAAAATAATAATAATAGTGATGAAAGAGTAGCCAAACTCTTGAGTACTCTGTGTAATATTCAGAAAATTTCTTCTCCAGAAATATTAAGGTCATTTAAGGATTCAAACCTTTCACTGACAATATAGCTACCTAGGCTGGGCATGGAGGCTCGTACCTACGTTCCCTGCACTAGGGAGGGTGAGGCAGGAAGCTCACGAGTTCCAAGCCAGCTTGGGTTACGCGAGACTCTGTCTCTAAATAAATAAATTAAATAAATAATACTGCCAGGCAAGGCAGCTTAATTTTAGACATTTTTCGATATAACGCCTGTAGTTCCAGGTACTCTGGAGGCTGAGGTAGGAGGATCGCTTGAGTCCAGGAGTTCTGGGCTGTAGCATGCTGTGCCAATCGGGTGTCCACACTAAGTTCGGAATCAATATGGTGACCTCCCTGGAGCCGGGGACCACCAGGTTGCCTAAGGAGGGGTGAACCAGCCTAGGTTGGAAACAGAACAGGTCAAAACTTCTGTGCTGATCAGTAGTGGGATCGTGCCTGTGAATAGCCACTGCACTCCAGCCTGGGAAATATAACAAGATCCCGTACTCAGGATTTCAACCATCCTACAGCAAGTACCTTCTGTGTGGTTTCCTTATTAAGAGGGAGTACAGGCAATGATAAAGATTATGGACTCTGTCTGAAATAGTTCAAAACCTGTTTCTGCCAGGGAAAGAACACTGGTATGACACTGGGCCAGTCATTTAACTCTTCCAAGCCTTGATGTCCTTATCCCCAGATTACTCTTACTAAGGGTGATCAAGATAAGAGTACACAACATAAAGCCTTTGTGTGGGAAGTTAATTCATGCAGAACACTTGGCACAGTATTTGGAACATTTCAAAATACTTTCAAAGGTTTCTCATTACTATAAAGAACTACGCTAATCTCTGAACAAGGTATAGGAATGAGAGCAATACTGTCTGCATTCAAATGGGGAGAGATCAATCAGATCATAAACAAATATGACACTTTAAGTGGGAGAGAACACAAGCTGAAAAATTATAAAACACATACTTGACTTCAATAAAAATAACTACTAAATCATATATATATGCAATTCTCTACATACATAAGTTGGTAATTCTACATTTTCCCTCTATTTTGCTGTTTTATTAGTTCAATTTAAATAAACTGAGCATTGAGCTGAATTCTATTTGTTCATCACTGTACTAGATTTCATGGAATGCACACTTAGAGCTCTTACACTACTTAGACTGGACAATGCTGTATGAATCACCACAGTGAACAGCGCAGGCATAATGCTGTACTGCAGGACACCAATATGGATGGACCTGCTTCCTAGGCTCAACCTTGGACCTAGATTCCTCCCAACCCTTTCTTTAAAAACATTTATTTTTATTTTTATGTGTGTTTTCCTGCATATATGTATATGCACCATGTATGAGCCTGGTGCCTGTGGAGAACAGAAGAAGGCATCAGATCCCCTGGAACTGGAGTTACAGGGTATTGTGAGCCACCACATGAGTGCTGAAAACTAGACCCGGGTCCTCTGCAAGAGCAGGAAGTACCGAGCCATCTTTCTAGCCTCTCCTATTCCTTCTTGATACTATTAGGTTACAGGGTTTGAAAATGAAAC